GTGCTGTCTGGGTTTCTATTATCTGGACTGAAATCAACAATAAAATAAAAATTAGTTTTTTAAATATTAAAATATACTGATAAAAGAAGTAAATGCATTTTTATACATACTAATATTATTTTACTATTTTTATTTAGCAGTGTTCATATCATGAATCACCCAGTGGCCATGAGAGCAGTGAAAGAGAAAGCAACAGCAATGAACAAAATAATGTTTGTTCATTATCTGTGCCACTAGAATTAGCACAAGGGAACCTTGCAGGTTTTACAGAAGAAAGTTTTAATTCATCACTGCTATCGGTACAAAACGATCCTGTACAATCTATGTTGAATGTAAATGAATCATTATTGTCAGTACCGGAGCAGGTTAGTATAACTTTATCATGAAACTTCATTCTTAATATGTTTCTATTACACTTAAAATTAATAGTTTTACAAAACTTTTTAATTTACATATAACACAAAATTAACGTCTTACTTTATAACGAATACATATAATAAAATTAACACTCTTTTATTGACTGTTGAAAATGTATAGAAATCTATATAGATATTGTACAAATTCACCATATGAAAATTCATTCAAATTTACATTGATGAAAAAAGAAACTTATTACTTACCGTAGAATTTAACCATCAAGTTTTTTATAATACATAATATTAATAAATATACAATACTTATATTGCAGGTACTAGATGCATCTTCATCACTAATGCATAATCGAACTGTCCTGTTTGGTTTAACAGATTCGGATGATGAATCTTTTAATGTAAGAATATATTTTGTTTTAAATACTTTAAAATTATTTTTGCAAAAATCGAAAATTTTAGTATTGTTTATTTAATGTCGCTAACTGCTTTTAAAGAAAAGTATAATCAATACTTTACATTTCTAAATTTTCTAACGTAATAATAATTAACATAAAATTCTATGTGTAGGATACATGGATACACGAAGCAAATGAAGAATTATTTGAAAGAAGTGGTAATGATAATGACAGCGACAACGATAGTGACGACGATGATGGAAATATCTGTCAACAGTTCAACGAAATAGAAAACGAATCAACGGCTGCCTTAGCACATGACGTTTGTTTTAGTAGATTAGTAAAAATGTTACAAAAAGATGAAATGAATTTCACAATTAATGTGCCAATAACAGTGAGTAAAGCAGAAATGTTACTTACAGTGCTAAAGTATGGGTTAACATATAATTTACCACAATCTGCCATAGCTGACTTATTTAAAATGTTAAATAGTTTTTTGGGATTGTCGATATTACCAGATACGCGCTATCTTATTGATCAGATATTTAACTCAAATGAAAACATTGAATACCATGCTGTTTGTCCAAATTGTAAAAAATACGTTAAAAAATTTAATCGAAAAGATCGTTGTTGGGGATTCCCCCAATTTAGCAATGTAAAATTTATATCTTAAACCGTTATATGTACTGCGATATACGTTTCGTTTGCTTCTCACGCGAAATGCTCGATAAGTTCGGA